TAACCAATAACAGGATGAATTTGAAAGAAATGTTAAATAGATGTATCTTATGCTTTCCTGAACGATAACACACTTTAAAAATACTTCAATTTGGGCAGCGGCAACACATTTTTCTTAACTCTCTGAATTTGTTTATCAAATTCGAAAGACAAATAAATGTATTGCGTTTTCTTATATGGCAACACACTTCTTTTAGGTCGATGAGTTTTCCGATTAAATTTGAAAGTAAATATCTTACACTTTGCATAATGGCAACCCAAAGCTTTTAAATCTCTGAATTTTTACTTAAAAGTTAGTTAAATTAAAGTAAAATGCATGTATATAAAGAATTCCTTTATGACGTATATTTTTCATTCATATATTTCTCATTTCGTGGAAAAGAGATTAAGGAACATAAAAACTAACTCTACAATTTTAAAATTTACTAAATGCAAAGAGGTTCGACATGTAAATATGTTAAGAAGTCTATTCTAAATCTATATTTTTAACTGAAGATGTGATGAGGGAATTCTAGGAATTAATGAAACTATAACTTTGACTGAAAAGCCAAGCAAATTGAAACTAGTATTGCAAAGAATTCGCATATGCAAAAGTAAAAAAAAAAAAAAAAAAAAAAAAAAAAAAAAAAAAAAAAAAAATGTTGGTTATATGCACAAGATATAAAACGTGTTTAAACTGCATAAAAATATAATTTCATAAGTAAATCTTTACTTCTGTGTAGATAAAATTCAAAATTTCAGTGTATTCTATCAGGCACCTAGTAGTATTTAATATGAAATCCACTGTATATGTCTTTCAAATTCGGCTAAATTTATTTAAAAATTTACATTAACATTATGCATTACTTTTATATATTCAGACATTAGTTTGCTGTTGTATATTGCTTAAAATTAACAGTTTTACATTTTGAAACTTCTAAATTTTTTTATTACTTTATATATATATATATATAGTTATTTTTTGATTAAATTCGTTTATCGTTTCATTTAGGAAAATTTAGGAAAATTCTTGAAAAAGAACTGGATATATTGCTAACGATTAAAGATAGGAAATTATATGTTCAATCAATTTCTATATTAATTATGTAATTAATATTAAAATATTATCAAACAACTGAACAATTGAAAATTGTTATTGATATTTTCGTCTGAAAAGCACAAAATCCGGCTATTTAGTTTGTTCAACCACAATTAATCAGTTAACTTCAAAACTGTTTGATCATTTAGACAATTTTGTCGGGCATAATGCTGAAGACATAATTAAAAAAAAAAAAAAAATATGTGGGTATGTTCAAATATTTTGCTAAAAAATAATTTATGTAAAAGATGTCATGTAACTAAACCCTAAAAAGGAAACTTCAATCTTTTAAAAATAACAGCATGTTGTAGAACTTACCATACTGGGCTTGTAACATCTGGGGTAAACTGGTTTAAATTGATTTAAATACATTACAGCAACGGATAAAAATTGAATTTTTTGTTGTGTTTATATATATGTTATTTCTCTCTCTCTCTCTCTCCCTGTGTATTTCTTGTACAATTTATTTCTTGAAAAGCTTTTAGATGTTGCTTAGTTTTATGACAACTTACGATATCTGCATTTATAATTGCGTAAAACATTGCATATATTTTTATAGAATTTACTGTAAATTACGTTACTAGTACATTCGACAAAAATACGGGCCAGAAAGGACATTAATAAATGATATACTTTACTTGAACTTTTGATGAATCAATTAAAATACACTATCAGAATATATAATAATATTAAGCTGTATTTTTTCATACATTTTTTGAATAAAAATTTCATTTATTTTCATTTATTCCTTTGTAGAGTTATTATTTGAAACAACCAGTTATTTATAATTTCAGCCTTTATTATAACTTCTTTCTGTTTCCTCATTAGAAATGTAAATTGTCTGAGAGTATTTAATCTGATGCATTTTTGGATTGTATGCCTCTCGAGGTCATGTTACTTTAGTTATACCATCTCTTAAAAGTTTATAATTATTCAGCTTCGCGTTATTTGCTGCTGACATTTTAATTGTTACGCCAGTTAAGAGATTAGAGCAACTTCGCTTCGCTTCGCAGTTATAAAGTTCTTTAACTACACGTCCACGTTTTAAATTTGAATTTGACTGTTATTTTCGTTTTGCGGGATTCGGACGATACCCGATTAGGCTACGCAAGCCGCCCGGTTGTTGGGACTTGCTCTCACCCGTCACCTGTTATTTTAATTATCTCGTCACAAGTTGTGGTTGATGCTATAAGCATAAGTTAAAGCTGTAAGCTTTTATGTTCAAACTTTTAGTTTAAATAAAAAGGTTATTTTAAAACCTTTCGAAGATCTCGTAGGGGATTTCAGACACAGCTAAAATTGTCAACCAACGTAGCTCCTAACAGATGTAAAATCTGTTTGGAGTTTGAAACTAGCTTATAATACCAAAGCAAGCCAAACTCTATATCTTGATAACTTCTTCTTTTATGCGAATTTTTATTTCCTCTTATTAACTCTGATAATTTTTACTAATTATTTTGTTTGCACAAAAAATTGTAACATTTTTGACATTATTGCCATAAAATTGTTTACAATTTATTGCAATGATTCATTTTAGTTTATTAATATTTAGTCACTTGTTTAATTTCATACAAAAAATTGCTTATCTTTGATAACAAAGTATTATTTATTATTTTATAAAGTGTAAAAATATTATAAACTATTATTTATTTAGTTTATAAAGTGTATGCAAGGAAACTTGGAATGCAAAATACATTCAAGATATATTAGGATAACAATCCTAAATATACAGCCTTGAATACTCTCTTGTGGTTACAACTGTCCTGAAATTGTCAAACCTGCTCATTCTGTACGGACTTCTGTTCTATCAAACTCGCTTGGAGCGAGTTGGACAAAAGAATAATTATACATGATAATATCTTTTACAAAGCTCTATTAAAAGCACTTCTTAGAAGGAATGGGGGAAAAAACGAAACGTTCTTACTCTAAATTGTTCGTTCAATCCGTGACAAAAGCACATGAAAAGTGTAATTTTAGCTGAGGATATCTAACTGTTGTGACTCCTATTAAGTTTAACATTTCCCGTTTCATACTATTTAATAGTTTGTTTTGTTATTTTATTTGATTTATGAATCTGGCAACCAGTTTTATTTTTGAATGTAATGATCGGAAAATTCCCGTTCTAAGCAGTTAAGTTACGGAAATACTGAATGTGTTTCATCATTAAGATGTACAGATCATTTGATCACATTCTAAGCAGTTAAGTTACGTAACTGAGGTACTGAATGCTTTTCATCATTAAGATGTACGGATCTTTTGTTCACATTCTAAGCAGTTAAGTTAGAGAAATACTGAATGTTTCTCATCATTAAGATGTACGGATTATTTGATCACATGCTAAGCAGTTAAGTATGCAGTAGTTAAGTTACGTTACTGAGATACTGAATGTTTTTCATCATTAAGATGTACGGATCATTTTGATCATTATACTAAACATGTAAATAGTCGCATTTATCTGTATGTGTTCGTAAAGTGAAATAAATTGGATATTAAACGAAGTCTGATTTCAAATCAAAACACTAACGAAGTGAGTTCATTTTCAGAACCTTTTGAATAAACTTCTTTTTTTTTAAACTAAAAGCTTTTCGAATAACGTTTTAGGGGGGTGGGGGAAAACTAGATTGCAAAAAAAGTGTATGTGAAAGGAAAACAAAATTATTTCTGTATCATTTAGTAACTTATATTTATTTGCAAATCACACTGAGAGCGAATGTGAAAAACTGTAATCAGAAACTTGCTATACAGTAGAAAATGAAATATGAGCAGAAATACATTCATATAAAAATTTAGTATCTAAAAAAGTACTATTAAGTCAATGAATTTAAATTAAACTAAATTCAGTAAACCGATTTCTTTTACATAACGGAATTGAAATATATAAATAAATTTATTTTTAAATCAGCTGTAAAACTCATGAATTGGGCTTAAGAATTTATTTTTAAATCAGCTGTAAAATTCATTAATTTCGCTTAAGAATTTATTTTTAAGAAGTTTGTCTTCTAAAATGTTCATTCTTAAGCTAGAACTTTTATTGATAAAAAAGTTAATTATTTGATTTTCAAACTGAATTTTAACTTACGTAAAAATTTGATTTAAAACAGATGAGGTGCATGTAGATCATATTCAAGGTTATGACGAGATATTTGTCTGTCCTAAGCCTAAATCTGTCCTACCTTAAAAAATAGAAATTTCTGGATCTATGCTAAATATAATTTCGCATATCAGTTTCTTTCTTATAAAGACATCACATCTTTATTTCAGAAGGCTAAACAAATTCTTTTCGGTTTGAATTTTCTGTTGAGAACTTAATTTCCTCTTAGTTCAGCATTATGTTTTATTATCAGCGGACATCGGACATGTTTACAAAAATAGTTAGCCGATCAATGAAAAAAATTCTTTAGTGTTATATTTGATTGTCACATGCATGCGCGAGAAGCATGCATGGGAAACGCATGGTGTGTAAGGCTCCTCTAATGGTGTGGAAGAGAGAAGAAATGGAAGAAAGTCATCAAGATCTCCTTCAATGTGAAATTCAGGGAATGATAAAGCTTTTACAGTTTTATTATATTTACCATAAAAGAATATTAAAATTAAATTGGTATATTTAATTCTTAGACATAATCTTGTCGTATTATTGTCCCATTACAATTTCAGAAAGGATTTTTTGATCGTGTAACAAATAATCGTCTGAAAAGTAAACATGCAAAATAAATTAAAGTCAACTGAAACAATACGAAAAAAAAGCATTTTCTTTATTTTTCAAATGTCATGTGTCAATCGGGTGGAATTCATCGCAGTCCATCATTAATGCCATCCTATAACGATGCGTTATGGTTTTCATATTTCCTCTTTCGTTTGTAGAGGAGGAGGAGCTTAACAATACAACTCCCGGTGAAACAGCATGCTGTAAACAAACGGTACTCTTGAAATTGCTGATTTGAATTATCTTAATGTTAGAAGTTTAATCACAGTATTGACTTGACTCGAAAATGACTGCTCCGTTCAGGTATAAACTTGGGTTATCGGTAAACAAACTTCGAGGTGTAATATCCATGAATTCTTCTATCAGATCATTTTCTGAAAATAGCTCATCAGGTAAAATCTGTGTAATGGAAACGGAAAGTATTTAAATGCAGAATTTTTTCTTTTTAAGAAGATGTTTTTAGTTAATTAGCTCTTTTTTTTTTTTTTTTTTTTTTTTTGTTGTTGTATTTGAATTATGTTATATCGTAATATAATCTCAAAATGAGAATTGGTCATGTTCCTTAAAGAAAATGCGGTTAATTTATGAAACTTTTAACAGACTTAATATGATATGATAGAGGGAGTATTATTAAGATATTAGCTCACATTGAATTCTAATGTTGCAGAAGATGACACCCATGTTTTGAATAAATTTGTTCTTGAGAGATATTCTCACGAAACTTCGCGTAATCTGTATTCAGTGCACAACTATAGTATAGATTTTATTTATTTATTTTTTGAAGGGCCATATGATTAAACAGGTTTTTAAAATCCCGTATTTTTTTATTGATTTCTAATATCTAATATGTAATGAATCTTTCAGTCATTTTATGTAAAATCGATAACAATTTATATAAAAATATGTATATTTGATTAATGTATATATAGTAGTATATTTAAAAAATATGCATATTTTATGCAAAAATATGTATTGATCATTTTTGAAATCTTGCATTAGTAATCAGCCAATTTATATGTATATTGAAATGTGTAATTATGAGTGTGTTCTAGATCTTGTAATTGTTACTAAGCAAAAAAGACTACACCTAATTGGAATTAACCGTCCAGAGAAAAGGAATTGCATTGATGATGAAACAGCCACACAGTTAAGACAAGCATTTGATAATTTTGAAAAGGATGAGGATGCTTATGCTGCTGTTTTATTTGGAAAAGGTATTACAAAGTTATGCAAAAGTATCTTTCTTGCTTTTTCTGTTTTATATGTGTATATGTATATTTTTATTTAGCTTCAAATTAAATTTATATCATTACAATCAGTAGTTGTTAAAAGCAGTATGAATAGGTCAGATCTTTTATTTTATTTGATATCGAATAAATTTTATGTTAATTAGTAATTATTCATGATTTGATGCTGTTTAACTTATTTGTACACTAATGCCAGTATAGTTTCATAAATTTTCAACATATGATTAGCTCCAGGGCATAATATAAATTACCTTTGTAATAAATTTATATGTTTTGTATTTGATGTGGTGAAGAAAAGCCTGTGTATCAATATATTTACAAAAAATAAGTTTACAATGTCTGATAAAAATGAGCAATCGCTTGATATGTTTTTTAACTGCAGGATGATATAATTTTAGTGTTATGGAAATTATTAAATTAACTAATACTGGCTATAAGCTTTAGAATTAAATTTCTTTTCAGTAATATCTTGTATGTTTTTTACTGTACTGCATTGCTTTAACGGTGAAATTAGTTGGAGTGCTTGCTTTCCCAATGTTATATTTTTGATTTATTTAATTTTTTTTTGTTTTGTGGAAGTAGAGCAGTTCCAAATAAAATTACATTAAAAAGATTTATTATTAATATGACTGAGAACTACTCTTATATATGCCTTTCATCTGGTGACAAATTTCTCACCAAATAGTTTTGGCGAGAAACTCCACGGTGTCATATTACTATCTAAATTTTTTTTCAACATTTCAAACTTTAAGCCTAAAATATCTCCAAAAACGTGGTTTTCGCACTTGCAAAAACCATGTATTGAACACACAATTTAAGCCAAAAATCTGAAACAAAAACAAAAAATTTAGATAGCAAAAATATAAAGTTTTTTACCAAAAATATTTGACAAGAATTCATGTACACAGTGATATGTTTTAACTTCAAAAAACATCACAGAATTGCACAATTCATGCAGCGAAGGAATTTACTACACACACCTAGCTTAAGTATATTAACATAACAGCAATAAATTTCAAAGAATACCATGTACACATCATTCTGTTTAAACTTAAAAAAACATGTACAGATTGCACAATCTAGGCAGCGAAGGAATCTGTGAACTACGCACACTCGTTTTAATAAATTAACATAACAATAAGTTTCAAGAATATCATGTACACAACATTCTGGTTAAACTTTAAAAAAAATCATCTACGAATTTCACAGTCTAGGCATTGTGCACTAATCAACAAAATAACTAAAATAAATTTCAAACAATTCAAAAAGCAACAATAACGACAGAAATTCACAATAAAAAACAATGAACATAACATTCTACAAAAAAGAACAAGAATAAAAAAAATGCACTACCATAAATGAATGTTCTCGAACAGAAAGATACCATTTTAAACATCACCAAAACAATTTCACCACAATTTGTTTAAAAAATCTTTCGCGTCAGAACAAACAATGGAAAAAAATATAAAAACACAAAGCTTTCCGATAAGTAGGCACAAGATGAACATGCCGCCACATAATCTCTGTCGTATTTATATGACAGCCAGACTCACTACCCACAAAATTGATACCATCTTTTACAAATAAATGTTCAAAACCTTCTTCTCCTAAATACCTGTTGAATTTTCAGCCACCCGAAAAAATAGTTTTACCTGGCACGCGACTAGAATTTTGGCAAAACGTCATAAATACCAATTTCAGAGCATACTTATATGACAAATCTGCAATAAATTTAACTAGCAAAGGGATATGATAAACTCTTCAGGAATTCAGGTCTAGAAAAGGATTGCAAAAAGACTGAACCAATTAATTAAAGCAAAAGAAGTTTAGAATCAAACCTATGATAAAATTTGAGGATTTGTGTTATACTTCTCAGGATGTAATTAAAAAAAAAAAAAAAAAAAAAAAAAAAAAACTTTCTTTTTATTATTATTTTTTTTATTTTTAAACCAAAAAGGGATTAGTCCAGAAGAGCTATTAGTCTCAAAAGGCATTTACTTCAACTGCTATAAACTGTGTATCACTTTTAGATTGTTGCTACCAAATATTATCGCTGGGTATTTTATTTAAAAAAAAATTAAATAATGAAGATTTGAAGTGGTTTTATTAGTTTTCATAATTCTTCCTTTTAAATTTTAATTAATTTTTTTGATTAATTTGGTTTGTCACTTTATATAAAGAACTGAACGACTTCTCACATACTATGTGGTATTCTTTATCAAAATGTGTACAATAAGAAATATAAATATAATAATATAATATGTACAATATACAATAATGAAATTAATCATTTTCATTTTACTTTAAGTGCAAAATTCATTTGATTTTCCATTAACTTATTAGCCTTAATGAGCATGTTCCTGTGATAAATTGCCAAGCTATATATATATGTATGTAATAATAAAATTCCATAGTCAAGAATACACTTAAAATTCTAACTGTATGTTCTTTTCATTTTTAATGGCGACGTTCTCTTATTTGAAAGTACATGGAATTAAATCCACAGCCCCGTAGTCAAGTTGTTTTTCCCGCCTTTTCTACACGTACAGTTTTATAATGTTCTGGAAATATTTAAAGCGAACTGGATTGGCTGACGTCAATTCTTGAAGCTCCGCCTTTCCAGAGGCTATAAAAGGACTCGCAAAAGAATATCGGGGCTTTTTCTTAAATGTCACGATGCCGTAAACTTCATACAAAAAGTTATTAGTAATTCTTTTTATTTACTCTGGATATCTGATTTTGTAACTGCTATTTCTCCTGAATAATAATAAATGGATCCTGTTTTTTTTTTAAAACTTATCGTCTGATAATTTAAGCTACAACTAAAGCTGGAATATCACATATATATATAGTATGTATATACTGAAAAATAGATAAGTCTTAGCAAATGTGGATGGCGTAGCATGTAGAATTCATAGAACATAAATAGCATAAAACATAGATCCGTACTGAAGAAGAAACTTGGCAGTCAAGGCAGATTAAATTCCATTTTTATTTAAATTGACATTTGTCATCACAATTGCCTATTTCCAGAAAATTTTCATTGATACTGTTACAATAGAAAGATAACACATTGAAATAGCTTCTAATTGAGTAAAGCTAAAGTGCACAATCATCCAATATTTTGGTTTTAATTAGAAAGGTTCCAGTTCTTGAAATTTTGAGTTCAGTTTCTGAAAAAACTACATCATCATGATTACACAACCCATGCAAGATGGATTGATCTAGAAATGATGCAATCTGCTAAAGTTATTTCGATTTTTTTTTAATAGGGGAAAGGAATTAAGGGGTTACTGCTAGTTCAAATTTTAATTTTGATTAACATATTTTTTATCTTACATGTTTGCATTTATAACTTACAGCCATAAAAAATTTCATATTAGGTAACTGATATTAAAAAAATATACAAGTATTGAAATTTAAAACATATAACTTGTATATTCAAGTTATGTCTTTTAAATTTTTAAATGAAATTCTACATTGCCTTACAATAATAATATGGACCATATGATTTTGTAAATGTAAAATAAGAAAATAAAAAACTTCATAATTGTATGTGTTTAGGGAAGGCTTTTAAAACTCTTCAAATATAAAATTTTAAATTTCTTCAAATATAAAATTTTAAAATTAAGGCTATGTTATTACAATTTTTAGAATAAAGAGAGGGAATTAAGGGGTTATGACTAGTTTAAATTATAATAAAGTTTTAAATATTTTTTATCTTATACACATATATACATGTACGAGTATATATATATTTCCATGTTATAATATTATGATATTTTCCTTCTTTTGTTTATAAATAAATCAAGAAACTGGATCTGATAAAGATTATATATTAGGTATACATTTTTAAATGTATAATATCTTTTGCTTCCTGAGGTCTATTGTGTAGTTGTCAAACTGGAAAATTTTCAAAATGAAAATTAAAAGAAAAGAAGGGGGAACATAAATACAAGTTCTGAAAAAAAGAAGATAGTCCTCATTATCCTTTCTGGCTGGAAAGTTCATTATAATGGTCATAGTATTCCTGGTTCAAAAAGAGGGGATATCAACTTCACTGGTCATGTCTCTGTCCTTTTTCTGAGCTGACAAACTGGGTTAGACTGAAATGTCAAATTTGGTATCTTTGGCAACTTAACTACTGATCTCTTTTAAAGGATTTTATCTAAAGTATCCAGTTTTCCCTAGATTTCCCTTTTTATTGTTGCTGCTTCAGAATCTGCATTTACTGTGTTTATAAATTATAAACAGAGTCTTGTGTTGCTTTGGCATGTTCTTCAGTTTTGCAATATTGCTTAGCATTTACCTTGCTTTATTTTATTGCAATATGCCAGAAAGGGAACGAGGGCTGACTGAAGAAGAAATATGAATACTTTTTCAAGGGCTCATGAAGTGCTAAATTATAGCACATGATAGAATAACAACACAAGGTATTGATTGTAATATAACTTCCTTCCCATTCTTTCAAAAGCTGTATGCTCTGCACAATTTCCCGTTCTGATTTAAAAGATTTTTGTTGTAGAAAATTGTTGGAAATTTTATAATGTAATAAAATATGTTTATACAGTAAACCTCATTCTCTTAGTAAGGTTGTAAAATCAATAATAATTATAAAAAGGAAAAGATAATTCCAATATAAATCTAAAGCTTTCCATTATGGTTTCTTTTTGCTAAATAAGTTAATATTTTTGGTGTGTTGCCCTCCATCTATTATTAATAACTGAAAAATAACATTTACTTGCTAATTAACATACTTTTTATATATAGAGAGAGATCTATAATAATATCCTCCATTTTCTAATTTTTAAAACTAAATTATATTACCCAAAAATATAATCATAGCTTTTGTTTTATTCTGCTGATATTTTTTGACTGAAATTAATATAAATTAGAAGCATTCAGGCAATGGAGCATTGCAATAAGCTATTTTTGAGTTAAATTCTCCAGATTCTAGTTTTTGTCCA